TTCTTTTTTTTTTTTTTTTGGAGACAGAGTCTCACTTTGTCACCTTTGGTAGAGTGCTGTGGCTTCACAGCAATTTCAAACTCCTGGGCTCAAATGATCCTCTTGCCTCAGCCTCCCTAGCAACTGGGACTATAGGTGCCCAGCTATTTTTAGGGACGGGGGTCTCACCCTGGTTCAGGCTGATCTTGAACACCTGAGCTCAGGCGATCCACTTGCCTTGGCCTCCTAGAGTGCTAGGATTGTAGGTGTGAGCCACCATGCCCAGCCTCAGATGTTCTCTTCAAGAGAAAAAAAAGAAAGAAAAATACTAATTAAAAAATAAAAGACTTGAGCATACGCAGATTTTGGTGTCTGTGGGAGCCCTGGAACAAATTCCCTGTTGATACTGAGGAAGTTTGGAGGATTAAAAAAGAAACGTGGGGTGGTGCCTGTGGCTCAGTGAGTAGGGTGTCAGCCCATATACTGAGAGTGGTGAGTTCAAATCCAACCCCAGCCAAACTGCAACAACAAAAAATAAGTAAATAAATAAAGTTTAAAAAAAAAAAAAAGAAACGTGAATCTGGTCTTCAAAGAGCTTAGAGAACAAAAGTGCCAAACTAAATGCTACTATCTTTGAGTAACACGTGAGTTCAGAGAAGAATTAGTTGTATTACCTTACAATGAGAAGAAAACTGAAACAAGAATAGGAAATGTAGGAACATAGCTTATATATTTGAAAATGAGTGTGTGTGGTGTAGGATGGGGATGAGGTGGTGAATAAAGTGGAGACAATAGGTCTGATGGTAAAAGAGGTCATTCTCGGGAGGAACCTAAAAGCCAAGAGGTTGTAGTTAACTTTATAGGTAGCAGGGATCATTGCTCAGTATTGAACAGCAGATTCACAGGATAAGGAAAGTACCTGAGAAACAATCATATAGAAATAAATGCCTGGAGAAGTTAGAGAGACTTCTAAGATACTCTTAGGGTCATCTAGTAGTAAGGTTAAGACCTTTGTTTCTATGGTAAAATGGGAATCAAGGATGAGGTTGATCCTGTTTCCATATCTAATGCTTTCATTTATCCATCCATTCATTCATCAGATATTTGAGTATCAGTATGTGGAGGGACAAAGAGTAGTGGTTAATTTGAGTCAGATTCCAGCTCTACTACTTACTGTGTGATCTTGGGCAAATGACCCAACATCTTTCTGCTGTAGTCTTTTCATCTATAACAGACATTATGTGTATAAAATACCTACCTCAAAGTGTATCATGAGGACTAAATGAGTTAATTTGTGTAACTACTTGAACACTGCCTGGACATAATGAGTTTTTAAGAGACTTAACTGTTATTATTAATGTGTCAGACATCCTTTACCCTTGTATGCCCAAGAGTCATAATCATTATACTTACAGAAATTGCAGACCATTAAAATACCCGACATTAAACAAATAATCACGTGAATGGTAAAACGATTGCTTCCTTAGGAAGTACAGAGAGCTTTGAGAATATAGGAAGGGAATGATTTAGCTTTGGGATGAGGGGTAGAAGTCAAGGAGGTAACTTTTAAATTGTGTCCTATAGAAGTTAGCCAGATGAGGATGTAAGAAGAGAGGGTTGAAGGCTGGAAAACATGTCCATATGCTCTGAGGAGGGAAGGAGTGTGATTTATTTGAGGAATTAAAAAGCTAATGTTCTTGGAGTTTGGCACAGTGAGCAGGTAGGAGGAACCTCACCTTGTAGGGCTTTGGGGAGCTGTGTTTAGGATTTGGGGCTTTATGTGAAGAACAGTGGGAAGCTGTAGGAGGAATATTTTTTTTTTTCCTGAGACAGAGTCTCATTCTGTCACGCTTGGTAGAGTGCTGTGGCATCACAGCTTATTTCAAACTCTTGGTCTTCAGCAATTTTCTGCCTTACCCTCCTAAGTAGGTGGGACTATGGGCTTCTGCAATAACAACTAGCTAGTTTTTCTATTTTTTTTTAAAAATAGATACATGGTCTTGTTCTTGCTCTTGCTCAGGTTGGTCTTAAGCCCCTGAGATCAAGCAGTCCACTTTCCTTAGCCTCCTAAAGTGCTAGGATTTTTTTTTTTTTT